CTTCCTCTCCCTCCTCCTTCACCACGTCCTCTTCCTCTCCCTCCTCCTTCACCACGTCCTCTTCCTCTCCTCCTCCTCCTCCTCCTCCTCCTCCTTCACCACGTCCTCTTCCTCCTCTTCCTCCTCCTTCACCACGTCCTCTTCTTCCTCCTTCAACACGTCCTCTTACTCCTCCTTCACCACGTCCTCTTCCTCTCCCTCCTCCTTCACCACGTAAATTTTAATTACTATTTATAACTAATGTAACAATTGTTTTTACACAGGTGGAACCAGTTGGATCTTGCCATTGTTCTGTTGTCTATTATGGGCATAACACTAGAAGAAATTGAGGTCAATGCTTCCCTTCCCATCAACCCCACCATCATACGCATCATGAGGGTGCTGCGGATCGCTCGTGGTTTGTATTCTCTGCCCTCTTATCTTCCGTACCGCCATGGTCCATTTTTCTTCCCTGAAAAAGTTTACACTCTTCAGCGCTCTGCCTGTTAGCTTCAGTAGATCAGACCCGGTTGTGTATGTCACCCTCGGAATCTCTGTAGTTTCACAGACTGCTCAGCAGAAGCCGTAGTCTGTGTAGAAAGAGTCCAGATGGCTGTAATGAGAAATTCAGTTCACACAGCCACTCTACTTATTTCTTACACACACAATCACAAGCTTATACGCTCACAACACACACAGTGTGGGAAGCTGGGGTGCTTGTCTACTTGGAACGATTATTCTTCCTCTAATGAAAGAGCTGCTGGGTGAGTCTTTATTGATTATTCCCTCAACAGAGATGGCCAAGCAAACACACCTGCTCAGATGTCTGTGTTCTCATCAGGTTGTGTGTGTGTGTGTATGGATAAGTGAGTATGTGTGTCTGTATGTATACGCAGCCTATTTCTTCCTGGACTCATTCAGACATTCCCATAATGAAAGTCACAGGCATCATCCACTTAAGACCATGATTTGCAATTAACCAAACCTCCACTGCGGCGTCTCTTCCATGGCTGTATGGCCTTGTCATCAACATCATTAAAGCTCTGTGTGTGTAGTGCATGACCCCAATAATAACATGCTCTGTGATCTGACCACTGTGAAAATTACATGAGAATTAGTTTCCACTGGCCACTTTTAAAGAAACAGTGCATCCACTGTGTGTGTATTTTTTGCTGTCTATTCTGTTAAAAGGTTGAGTCACAGATTGAACATTTAGTATTTTATTTTTTTCTCGAAGGCCACTTTTGTCAGTATTAGAAGTGTAATTCATTTTTACTCCTGTTTGTAATACATTGAATTAATATATCATATGGGGTCAGTATTTTTTATTTTTTGGAAAGCAGTTAATACTTATGCTAATTAAATTATCAAAAGTAAAAGTAAAGATATGTATAGTGTTACACAAGATTTCTGTTTCAAATAATTGCACAACAGTTTTTAACACAGATAACAAGAAATGTTCGTAAGCACCAAATCAGCATATTAGAATGGTTCGTGAAGGATCATGTGACACTGAATAAGTGGAATAATTGCTGCTGAAAATTTAGCTTTGCCATTACAGGAATAAATTACATTTTAAAATACATGCAACTATTTAAAAATATGAAAATAGTTTGTCTTAAATTGTGATATTTTACAAAATTATCAAATAGTAATATAAAATAAATGCAGCCTTGGTGAGCATAAGAGTCTTTTTCAAAAAATCTTACTGAGCCTACACTTTTGGTACTGTATATATTTTACTTTCCCTATTTTTGTATTTGGATTTCTTTTTCTGTCTCACTTAAAGTTAATCTTTTAAAAAACGAATTGTTAAATAACACTGTTAAATTAAATGTTTAGCAAATCTTAAAATTAATTTTAATTTTACACAATGTACATAATAATGTTGTGATGCCTACTTATTCACTTGTAGCATTTAAATGACAGGTTTTATTTATTTATTCATTTGTTTATTTTTAGTATTTTATTTTAATTTTTTTAAAAAGTTAATGATTTTAATATTGGCCATATCAGCCATTACTTGAAAACAATTAATAGCTTATCAGTATCAATCAGAATTTTAATATCTGTGAATCCCTAGCCCAGTGGTCACCAACGTGGTGCCCGTGGGCACCTGGTAGCCCGCATGGAGTCTCTGAGTCGCCCGCCAAGCACGTTCTATAAATAGCCTAAATTAGTGTCGGGCGATAAATGGTATCATATCGAGATTATGATCAAATTTATGTTAATAATGATGATAAGTTCTGGACATTTTTACTCAATATGGATTAATCACAACAGAAATATATGTTACAGCAACCAGTCGCTAATAAGCCTGCATGTTCTGTGTGTCTGTGTGAATGCGTGGAGTAGTTTCATCTGATACACAAACAAACATATGTTACTCGCGGTGTTTTCACCGTCTGCGTCTCAATAATATATGAGGACAATTTGAGAAAAATACCGTCAAATACACGCTGAAACTAAAACTAAAACTGAAAGACCTTCACGACAAACCGTCAAAATAAAAGTCCGGTTTAACTTGAAATTATATGACTGAATATATTACTACTGTATACTACAATGCAATTCTCAAAGTAATAATGATATTATTATTTTTAAGGAATATCATACAACCACGTTATTTTTTATTATTATTAATTTATACAGTTCTGTTGTGCAGCATCATGTCTGATAAAATAAAATAAAAAAATAAAATAAATAAAAATGCAATGTTTTGTTGTAAATTGATTTTCATTTGATTACATTTTAAAAGATTGATTAAATTGTTAAAGTTTTATTAATTAATTTCACTAGACACCATTTTTTTATGATACATTTGTACTGAATCAGAAAACACGGAATCCATAAGAAATCAAATGGAAAGCACAGAATTTAGGGGAAAATAAAATGTATTTTATTAAGATATTAGAGAGAGAGAGAAAAAAATATATGTATGTATGTATGTATGCATGCATGCATATTGGAGTATATCAAACAAGTAGCCCTTGAGACTATTTTATCCCTTCAGGGAGCCCTCACTCACAAAAAGGTTGGAGACCCCTGCCTAGCCAATTCACACTGTACTGGCAGACTTAACCTTTGCCTCTTACCCCTTCAAATAGATTCAAATAGATAGATAGATTAGAACAAATAGATTTTTGTTGTTGTTTTCATTTTTAAATAAATACACTTGTAAGTGCACTGGTAAAAAAAAAAAAAGGTGTATTTGAAATTGTACTCCTTTTGTATTTTTATATTTGAAACTGTCTTGAACAGATTGTGTACATTTCATATATGCACAGTAAGCGGGCTCTCCTCTCCTTTCAGTGCTGAAGCTACTCAAGATGGCAGTGGGAATGCGAGCTCTGCTAGACACTGTGATTCAGGCACTGCCTCAGGTACTGCACAAAACTTTTTTCTGTCTCCTTCATAAAGTTCTGCTCTCCACTCCTCCAGTGTATCATACGCGGTGAGAGAGTTCCCGGGCCCTGTTCCCCGTTCTTCTGGGGCCCTTCTGCTCTCCACAGGCCTCATTTACATAGTCAATCTGCCATGAAGAGGCCACAGCAGTGCAGATTGGCTCTGATGGGCTGCTTGGAGAATAGCAGAAATGAGAAAATCTCCAGCATGCACATTCTTTTGATAGCATCAAGCTCCATCACCGCCTGCAGGGTTTTTCATTTGGAAACATGCTGCACCACAGGACACATTATTAATTCCAGTCTCTCCTTTAGTGCTCTTCAGATAATCAGACATGTAATTCTACTTCTTACTTAATTCTAACTAATTGTCACTAATTGGGTTAGATCATGTTTAGCCATCACCTGATCTTAGCATCACCTCCTAACGCCCTTTCAGTGTCGCTGTGACTTTCACACACTTTATACTTTTGCATTAAAGTTGCTTTTTGTGGTTCTGGGCTATTGATCTACTCTTCCGCAATTTGTGAGAGGTGATCCGTAACAGTGTTCTGACTGAGATATCCTGCCAGATAGTGTGAGCTTGATCCCCGTGTCTTGAATCCAGCCAGTGAAGAGTGCACTTAAGAGAGATTAGGGTGGGAAAATAGCCAGACTTACAAAAAGGAATATCAGCGCAGTCGGATTTGTCAGCACATCTAATCTGATTCTTTTTATTCCTTTCCGTTTTCCTCTAAATCATGCCTGATCCAGTTGTTTGTGACCACTCTGCATGATTGTTTTGCATGATTCTTCTGGGTGTAGGTGGATTCTTCCTGTTATGCAGCAGTACATGAATATTACGGTGTTTCTATATACCACAGCAAGGTTTAGGCACCTAAAATAATAATAATTATTATTATAACAGTAATAATAACAATAATAATAAATTAAAATGCATTATTATTTGTTTATTTATTTATCTTACACAATGGCAATAATTTAACAGGATGAACATAAAGATCTAAAGTTAGTCTTATTGTTGCTTATTGAGGGTTACTGTAGCTGTAGGGGGTCAACTTGAAATTAATTTGATATACTTTAATTTCTTCATTTTAACCATCTTTAGACATTTTGATAATACTGCTTTCTATAATTTTATGTAACAGGATTTAATATTTTGTAAGTCAGACAAACCAACTTCTATAAAAAAAAAAAAATCACAGAATTATGTTAAATTATATAAATCAATATTCCCAAGTCATGTTTTGCTTGGGGAAAAAAGGGGAAAAGTGGCATATTTATTAATACATTGTCTAAATAAATTCAATAAATTGAAAATGTTTCTTAATAAATAAATAAAAAATCTCCTGAAATGATGTGCTAAAAATGACAACATTTACTCAAATAAGTGTAGTGAAATTATTTAAAATTCAAACCTATGTTAAATATATTGTGATAAAAGAAAATAAATATGATTTCCATCTTCGAAAATGAATTATTATAATTTATCCAATTTATTAAGACATACTGTATGATGGTGACATGAAAATGTACTAAATAACTTTCAGGTTTTGTAATTAGGATATGAGGATTTTATTTTTGCGCTTCTGACACTTCTTATTGATTGAGAGAAAGAGGGAATGTGATTTAAAAAAAAAACAGGATGTCAGATTTTTTCCCCCGTCAACATGTCTGGAGCATGTACGCTAACTGCTAGCAACAGTAAGCCACGGCTTCAGCATAGTTTGAGTTTTAAATTTACAAACCTGGCAAGCTCTAATCAGGTGGAACACAGCTGTCATCTTCTCACTTCATGACTCTCTCTTATTGGCTCCTCACAGGTGGTATTTCTAGGTCTGTCCTGTCATTGCGTTCCATGACAAACTCTCCTGGCTTTCTCTCCCTCCCTCGCTCTCGCTCTCTCTACAGGTGGGGAATCTGGGTCTTCTCTTCATGTTGCTCTTCTTCATCTTCGCTGCACTGGGAGTAGAGCTGTTTGGTGACCTGAGTAAGCATAACAAACACACATAAATAAGGACCATTTTTCCTCATGGTCTAATTCACTCAGACACAAACACTTCCTCTCACATATACACACACATACCTCTGCACTCCACAGGATCTTCCTGTCTAAGTTTTATGCACACTGAAATGTAAATTACTAACATTCCCTATGGGGTTCCTGACACTATTGCTGGGAATCCAAAAACTAAAAAATTTAAATATTAAGTTAACTTTAACTAAACCTAAAGTTAAGAAGCCAAAATAACTTTGACTGTCCCACATTAAAAACTTTCAAGTTAAATTAAAATGTAATGCACCAGTATTTTCAATATAAGTATCCCAACAAAGGGTAAACACATTAATATGGTAATCTACACTTTAATATAGGCCAGACTTAAATGCAACACTCAGTTTTATACAATATGTTACAGGCTCCATCTCTATTCATCAAAGGGGTCCTGTAAAACTAATTTCATTCATTTATTTATTCCCTTTATGACGTTGATTAGTCTACTCATGTTGTAACCCTCTAATCCTCTGATGGTACATAATTATGTTTTAAATTACTTGATTTATTACTCTTTATTAGTTTATTTGTTTTAAATTGCTGTAAAATCACTTTCACATATTTTAGAAAGTTTTCCATCCTTGTCCATAAGGGCAAACCATAAATATGGTACCTGCAGGAGGTTTTCTCTAAAATACGTGGCAGTACATTTGGCACGGTTTACTGAATACAGCCGGCCGTGATTCATTGCAGCTCAGCACAATACCAGGGTTGATGTCATTTCCATTTCCAATCAGCCGACTCAAGATAAACATAGAGACTTCATAATTCATAACCAGCTTTACAGTGTTGTCCAAGTTTAATATATGGAGTCTGCTGGCTGAACTGAGATTGACTGTCTGCAAGGCAAACTTTTTTCTGTTTCTTCCCAACCAAGAATGAGTCAGGATCACTGAAAGGTTCTTTGTGGAACCCAGAATGGTTCTTCTGTGGGCTTGCTACAAACCCCCCCCCCTTAAACCTTTATTTCTGAAAGTGTTGAAATGTTGGAAAAATCGATCCAACTTTTCATGGGGAGCACTTACTTTGTCACAGCACTGTACATATATAAAAGAATGTGTTTGGCCATTATGAAAATATGTTGATCTGCACATTCCCAGATCATGTACCACTGACCTTTTCTTTCTGTCCCAGTATGTGATGAGCTGCACCCATGTGAAGGTCTCGGCCGTTATGCCACGTTCAAGAATTTTGGCATGGCTTTTCTCCTGCTGTTCCGTGTATCCACCGGGGACAACTGGAATGGCATTATGAAGGTGGGACACAGTCAACTCATGGTGCTGAATTTCAATGATGCACACGGTTTGTTTTAAAATGCCTTGTGCGTTTTCTGACTACGGTCGTTAGCAACCTATTCACCTCTTATTTGTACACTCTGTGTGTCCACGTTGCAGGACACGCTCAGAGACTGCTCCCAAGATACAGGCATCTGCTACAACACGGTGGTGTCCCCCATTTACTTTGTGTCCTTTGTTCTGACGGCTCAGTTTGTGCTGGTCAATGTGGTGATCGCTGTGCTCATGAAACACCTGGAGGAAAGCAACAAAGAGGCCAAGGAGGAGGCTGAGCTGGAAGCCGAGATGGCGCTTGAGCTGGAGGCTGTGGGTGGAGATGGAGGAATATCCCGAGGGCACATGCCATCTCTGGGACATGGTAACGTTGGTGGACCAGGAGGGTCGCCTTGGATCACAAGAGACTCTCCAAATATGTCGGGATCTCTTTACCCCACAGACAGCCCACCTGCAGACATACGCAGAGACTCTGAAGATCACATAAAGACAGATCCCGATCCTCATAATTTGGAGCAGCCATTAGAGGTGAGTGGAAATTCTGGGTGTGAGGTCAGTGGTGTGTAGTTTCCAGGCTCAACACATGAGCCAGACTTTATGCTACCTGGTTTAAGCTGCTTACGACCACATCAGGCCAGCTAGAAACCAGCCAACATCTTAAGCAGGTTTCAGCAGTGGTGCCCAGCTTGCTTTCGTTTTGCTGAAACTTTTAAATAGAATGCTGGAGAGATTACATATTTTTGTAGGCCAAAACCCAGGAATGAGCTAGTATTTTAGCATTCCCAGTACAATCGTCTTTTTTATTTATTTATTTAATTTTTATTTGCCTGAAATAAAATCTGTGGTTAACACAATCTTTTCATGTTTTATTCTATAACACAAAATACATCAGTAATATCCCCTTGTGATTTTTCTTAAAGCTTTAACTTTAAAAGCTTTTTTAAAAAAGGCGGTTGCTAACAAGTGGCTAAATGTGGGATAAATGTCATCACACTAAACAAGTAAACTCATCAACTCACTAGCCCACCTTTACAGCCTTATTTATAATCATGCTTTTGAAAACTATTCTTAAACTTTCAGGGAATTTTTTTATTTTTTTTTTTACTGAAAGAGTTGTCAGATTTTCATGGTGTAGTTTGGTTATAAGCTTTTTACTTCTGGCGATTGTATTTAGGTTTCAGATTTTTATGAAAATTATGTTTATTCGTGAAGGATATCGTGATGAACAAAACATGTAGGAACCATAAGCCTTTGTTGGTCACAGAGCTTATTTTCTACAATAATCCTTAAGCCAGTAGAAAATCCTTTTGGGTTTTTGTCGAGGGAACCAGGGTGATGTTAACTTCTGGGTTGGTCTACAAAAATACATAACCACTGCAGCGCTCTATTATCTAAATACACTATACTGTTAGACAACATACCATATGCCTCCATAAATGCCTGAACCAACTGACGTCACTGATGCACATATTAAAGGAATGTTTTTGGTTCAATTAAACTTAAGCATCTGCTATATGCTCTCCATTACCACTGAACATTATTTTGTCCCTCAGTTTGTTAAAGGGGTCCTATTATGCTTTTTCACTTTTTCAACTTTAGTTAGTCTGTAATGTTGCTGTTTGAGCATAAAAAAGATCTGCAAAGTTACAAAGCTAAAAATAGTATATATTTTATTTAACAGAAACCACTTTTTCAAAAACTACAATGAATGATTCGTTTGGACTACAATGCATATTTTCCGGGATTTGTGATATCATAAATATCGACGAATGGGACGAGACCTGGTTGAGCTGCACTAGAGAAGGCAACGAGTGTTATCACTATGTCGGAGACACGCTAGCTTTCCCAAGGCAGACGAACTTAGAGTGGTTACAATCATCCGGGTTTAAATCACGCTCAAATTGATTTGATTTTGACGCAATATTTACACTGAAGCTCGCAGGCGCTATGGTAAGGGGCATGACATTTCCCGACCAGGCGCCGAGTGCTGCCAATCACAGCACACACTGGCCCAGCTAACCAATCACAGCACATTTCGTATTTCAGAAGGCAGGCTTTCATTTGATACAGGAACTATTCAAGCAGTTCATGCCATGACTGGGGAGAGAGGTGTTGTAATAATGTAAAATATGTGAAAAATAATGTGTTTTTCGAACAACCTAGTATGAAAGCCTGTTCTAGTACACCCCCAAAACAAAATCAAGACTTTGTAAAAGAGCATAATGGGACCCCTTTAAAACAAACACGAATCTTGTTTACAGCAGTGCACTTACAAAGGAAGTTGATGGAGCAAGACCTTCCAGAGGGTTTAAAAGCAAAAAAAGTCCAGCTCATAGTTGGTTAAAGCATTTATGTCAGTGCACTTATATTAATTTGGATGTACAAAATATGCATTATTTGGTATGCAAGTTGTTTTTTAGGAGTGGGACTACTGAGATTTTGGTTCTGCATTACTAATCTAATTCCTGTGGATTTGTCTCTATGTGAAAAGTCCCTTTTTGGTATTATTGCACGTATCATCTGAAAATTGCAGGGTTTACTGGCTTTATATGGTCATGAGAGGAACTCTGCATAGAAGAAGATGGTAAACAATTTTGTTACTCTAGTCTCGTGTAAACACGTATAATGTTTAAGCCTTGTAGTCCTATACGCACAACATTATGTGCTTCAAAATTTATTTCAGTGCAATGCAGTGCCCCATTGACTTCTGCATAATTGTAAACATGATTTTTCTTTAAACATAGTAAAGTTATTTTCTTGGAAATCAACAGTATAGAGTTTAAATGGATAGTGAATAAAAAATAATAATAATTTCAAAATGACATTATTTACTCACTCATGTTGTTTTTAAACCTGTATGACTGTTTCTTCTGTCGGACAAAAAATTGGGTAAAACTTTATATTTGGGAAAACATATTAATTATTAACTAAGAGTTTTCCCTCAATCAGCTCCTAATTTGCTGCTTATTGATCGTACGTTAGTTGTTGTAGTAGTTATGTTTAGGTATTGGGTAGGGTTTAGGGATCTAGAATATGGTCATGCAGATAAGGCAATAATATGTGCTTTTTCTAATTAATAATAAACAGCCAATATGCTAGTAATATGAATGCTAATTAAGCAACTAGTTAACAGTGAAAAGTGTTCCCAACAGTAGACAAGTAACAACTATTGTTCCCAACAATAGTTGTTACCAACAATCTTCAGAATATTGATTGTGTTTCAGGTTTTGAATGACGTGAGAGTGAGCAAATGATTTCGGAATTCTCATTTTTGGGTGAACTCTTTAACTTGTAACTCTTTCCATCCTTTTAAAAACATGATATATGATATGGATATCTAGATGTCTCACAATATATAAAATATACAGTATTTTTTTTTTCCACATTGGTTATCGCCAGTGTCCAACTAACAATGAACTGTTTATTTGTTAAAAAAAATAAGTCTGTTACGATAAGGGCTTACAGATCATTACTAACATGCATTTAGGTTTACTGAAAAGACATGTTTTAAAACACTGAACTGTTATTTTTAAAGTGGGGAAGTCCATTGGTTTCTGTTAATGTCGTATGGAGATGTGACTGTTGTTTGCTCCTCATAAATTTAGTGGTCAGAGGTCAGACTGATGCCATGGGAAAGTAGTGATACAGGCCTCTTCTTTTTTTTAATGCAGGCTGGCTATTTCCAGAATACCAGGCTTTTTATTATTATTTTTTTTTTTAAGTTAACAGTGACATTATCCCTCCAGCTCTCTTCTGAAGTGTGGCCGTGCCAAAATGTTTTGCTCATCATCAGGATAAATGTTCATAGAGCTCTAGTTCCCCCTTGTGGATGTCAGTGGTACAATGAAGTGTTTCACCTGTGAGCAATGCATCTTTGCCAGTTTAAAGCCCAATACTACATCTGATCCGCACATAATGCATTGCACTACTGATTTAACTAATGCATCTTAGCTATTCTGGTTTAAAGGATCAGTTCACGTCAGATTTAAAATTCTGCCATTATTTAATCACTGTTGTTGCAAACCCATATAACTTACTTTCTTCTGTGGAACAGAAGTCCATTGTTCAGAATGTCTACTTTTGTGTTCCATGGAAGAAAGAAAGTCAACAGTGTGGGTGAGTAAATAATGACATCTTAATTTTTGGGTGAACTGTTTCTTTAAATGAATTCTTAAGGCTTACTGAGTAGCTTGTTTATCCTTTCGTAAATCTTCCTTCTGGCTGCTTGTGTTAAAGTCTAGAAACTTCTCTCCTTCCTTCATTTCTCCTCTGTTTTTTCTCTGTGTAATGTCATTCACGTCACCCTTCATCATCTCCTCTGCCTCTGTCTCTGTCTGCTCTCTTTTTCTCTCTTCGTCATTCATCCTGTCTGCCACATGCTGGGGCTTTTAGCGGAGGCCTATGTTTGACTCCGTTTCCCTGGTGATCCAGGGCTCATTGGAAGGAGAGCTCAGCCTCATGGACAACCTATCTGACTCCATCTGCCACTACTACGCTCTGCCCCCCCTTCACAGCAAGCACTGCACTGAGAAACAGGTCAATGGCATCCCCGTTCACCCAGCTTTGCCTTGTACCACACTCCTCTTCTCTCTCTGCCTGTCTCTTTCCCTTCTTCTCTCCCTCCTTTTCTCTCTCTCTGGACCACTTAAACTTACATAATAGCACCGAAGCTTCTGTGTGTCACTTAGAAAGCCACCTCTGCACTCTGGGATTTCCAGCGCTCTTTAGAAGAACTTGGTTCTGCTCCAGTAATAAGTGTACTTATTTCCTGATCCCATAAGAGTGACAAAGGCTTGCAAAATTTTGTGAAATGTGTGCCTCGCTCCAAAGATCATTAATACCCAAAAAAGTGATGGACTCATCAGGCTGGAGTAGAAGAGGTAATGTGTGGATCGATATAGAGCTGGACCGCTGTTGAATTATGCAAGGAAATCTCTTTTGGTCTGTTTCACATTGAAATATTTCATTAAATTGCATTAGCATTGCAAGAACGGAGGCTTCTAAAAGCATTTTTTTATGTAATTGGAAAATCTGTAATGTCTTTATGGAAATATCTGGCGCTTTTATTTTGATGACTTTGCAAAAAGTTGTTCTAGCCCAAACTCTCAGGGACAATTTAGATGATGCAGCAAGCAAGATTTCGCCTGCTGACATATGAGGATTTATGAAAGAGATTCCATATTATTTATCTTTGAAGGTAACTGAGTTTGACCTTGTTTTCTGATATCATTTTAATATTTGAGGACCATTAAACTTCAGGAAATCTATACTGGCTACTGAAGGAAGGTTATATGCATCCTGTCAGCTGACTCTGGAGGGTGTTTCCATCAGGGCTGATCAAATTTCTGAATTGAAGAATTGGCTCTCTTTCAGTTCATGAGTGTGAATTTGAATTTCATTAGCCACGCCCCACAAGAAGTTCAATTGGAATTTGAGTTTGGAGTGACAGGAAGAAATGCAGTATTTAATTTCAAAGAAATTCAACCCAAATTGAATATCTATCTGTCTGTGTCTATTTATCTGGTCTATAAACCTTCAAAACTTTTAAATAAAGTTTTGTCAAGCCAACAATAAAGATTTGCCTTGACAAACTATTCTTTCCTAGCCCTCATCCGTCCCTCACGAACCTATAACAAAAGTGTCCCTCGCGGGTCAAAATGACCCGAAGGCCAAAAATGACACTAATTTTATTTTTGGTCCAGAAAGCTTATATTGGTCCATTTTTATATATATATTTTTTTTTTTTTCAAATTTTTATGTAGGTTTTTTTTTTATTATTATTTGGTGATTTTTATTTTATTCACATTAAATTCTGTATATTTATATGAAAATTAGTATATTTTTATAATTTTTTTCACCAAAAAAAAAAGAAAGAAAGACACAATTTCTGCATATTTATACTTTAAACATGATGATCCATCAGGACCTAGGTCAATGAGTGTCTATGATGCCATCTGGTGGGGAAAAATTACATAAAATTGCATTTTATGGTTACAGCCACTAGAGGGGCCTATAGAACCCTATGGAGATTCTTAAATGAGCCAACTTGAGGCTTCATTAAGCTTTCAGATATATCTCAAGGCTTTCAGATATACATATCAAAACATAAAAAAAACTATATTTTGTAAAAAAAAAAAAAAGAAAAAGAAATGTATACAGAATTTGAATCCAAACACGCATATTCATACAGTTTCATAAATATGTAATAAATATAAAAGATA